TAAATATATATTCAGTAATTCGTGTAATGTGTTCGGGATGATATTTCTTGTATATTCCAAAGATAACATTTTCCTAGAAATTATTATATCGACGAGGCTGTGGTCAACGATATTGTTGTACCCGCAAACTCATCGTTCTCTCATAATAAACCGATAATCGATCGAAAAACAATGAAGCCGGATACGGTATCGACGCTGCTGCACGTTCATTGTTCCACGTGACGGACCGGGATAGATCCCAACGACTTCCGTGGACGGACCCGTCGTGGCAACAGCGCCTACTAATTAACTCCGGAAGGCACTAATCTTATTTGTTGAGAAACGAATAACGGGGTCGGCGGCGTTTCTAATCGGGAGCATGACTCGTCGTCGGCCGATTAATGACAAGAGAAGTTGCGGGACACGGTGATGAAGCAGGGCGAGAGGAGGGGAGGAGAGGAGAGTCGAGAAGGGGACTAGAGAATCGCGGTAGAGAAAGGGACGGGTAGAACGAACGGTGAAGAAGGCGGAGAGAGAGAGAGAGGAAGGGAGGGAACGCAGAAGAGAAGAGACCGCTCCGTGGAACTGGTTCCGTTCCATGGATCACTGGAAACAATCATCCTTATTAAACTCACCACCGGTTCACCCCGCGGATATAAAGGCATCCTTCGGAATGATTTACCGAGAAGCGCGTCGCGCGGCCCTTTGAACAGGTGGATCCCTCGAAACGCGACGCGAAGCGACGATAAACTTTATGGATCCATCCCGCCAGTGTGGATAGATTGAGAACGTGCGCGACGGGGGTGGCCGCCGTTGCCGTTGCCGCCGCCGCCGATTCCGCCGAGTCAGGTCTTGGAAGCGAAATCAGGACGAAACGCCGCGTCGTCCGGTCGTTGGTCAAGTAATTACGAAGTAGAAAGTCATCAAAGAGGTTGTTTTATTCACGATTAGTTCGGGTTTCTATATTTCACCTTCATTCGGCTGATGAACGGGCTGAGGGAAAACGTTATATACAGTTCCCGCGTCCTTTTTGATTTATTTAATTGGAAAATAATAACAAAGCGAAATCTCGCGCGCAAAATCGCACGTGAAAACAAATCGCAACGTGAAATGCTACGTTTTGAAAGAATGAGACCGCGGTTAAACACACCGTACGTGTTGGCATTTACGACGTTTATTAATTAGTCGTTTCGCCAGGAAGAAAGTGAGCAGCCGGATATTCGGAGCGACGACAGAGCAGAACCTCGTTGACTTAAATGCACACTCTGCTCTCTCTCTCTCTCTCCCTTTCTTATTCTTCTCTTTGCCTTTCTTCTCGGGTTTACAGGTGGGATAAAAAATTAAAACCAACAGAGACACGCTGGGACTGGTTCGGGACCGCGAGCGGTCCAACGATTAGTCCGGCTGGTCCCGACGACGCCGGTAGCTGCGCGGGCCCCCGAGTCGCAACACTCTAATCTAAATTAGATCTTAAGAGCCCGTAAAAGTAAGTGGCCACGCTCTCTCTTCTTCTCTCTTTCTTTCTCTCTCTTTCTCTTGCGAGACAAGTCGTATTTAACTCCCAAACAAGACGCGAATCTGGTAATTCGCGTGGCTCCCTCGCAAATACCACTCGGGAGCCCGCGCCTCGCGCAAAAAGGCTCCGGCGCGGTTATCGGTTATCGCGTTTGGCTAACGACATTCCACGAAAAGCCGTCAACAACTTGTCCGAGGAGGTTACTTCTTTGTCCCGATCAGTAACGGATGTTGAGGGACACACTGAAGAAAAGCCCGATGTTTCACCGATTGAAAAATAAAACAACAGATCAAAAAGAAAGAGAGTAACAGAGAGAGAGAGAGAGAGAGAGAGAGAAAGGATTGTTTATCGACGTCCAATTGAACGTACACGACCCTGTTACGTGGGAACACGTGTCTTTTATTGGCGAGTGAATTTTTATTCGCGATGTACGGGAAGTTGAAACAGCATAGCGTCCTGAGCCGTCGCGATATATATTCCGATAGATTCTCAATCGCACGCGTGCCCTTGTATATACAGACGCCTAATGAATATGCATCGTGTTTCACAACACGGTTACTTTCTCTCTCTTTCTTTCTCTCTCTCCCTCTCTTTCTCACCCGACTAGTCAATAAACCTAAGCGGCCATAAAATCCAATTAGTGTGAAATTAATACTGCTACACGGCGAAATAGCGGAAGAAGCCGAGGATCAATTTATATTGCGAAACTTGTGCAGAAAACGTCGGGCAATTTTCCACGGCCCGGAAGAGCGCGTATAAATGGATGGGAGATAAATTAATATGCACGACGAATATTATTAGAGACCAATCAAGTCAATTACCGGCTGTCCTCTCAAAGGTAAAAATGTTCTCGTATGTGTAGCGACACAAATAAATATAGCTGTTGGTTCTAGAAGAGGATACATCTATCATGAAAATTGATACGCGCTTATAGGCGTGTTTTCTCGTGCTTATTAACGCGTTTCGTCAAATAGAAAATTAATATTTTCTCGAGAAACATGTCGGTGTACTCTAGTAATTTCTTTTTTTTTAAATCGCGTTGTAATCGTGTAATTGTGAAAAAAAAAAAAAGATTCTTTGCTTCATTTTACTTGTTATCACGGATAAACGTGTATTGACAGGCTCCTGCGAAAGTTTCTGTCTTCTTCCACGAAAGAGAATCATTAGAATTCTGAGAGAGGGTCGGTTCCAATTTCGCTAGATAAACGAAGGAGAGAAGCGTGCCTTGCTCGTTAGGGCTATCTTCGTTCGCTGTTCACGCACGCGCATACATAGGTGTATGCGGCGGTGTGTCTCGGCAAACTCGCGAATACATCTCCAGGCCTTGACCGTACACCACAAACACTCTCTACCTGCTTCACTCCTCCTCCTCCTCCTCCTCTCTCTCTCTCTCTTTCGCTGCATACTCCCCACCATCTTCGTTAATTACGAGAACCCATACCGTGGCCGCAGGACCGGACCTATTACGAGCGATTACACCGCTATTAGTTACCTACCGGGTGTTCCACGGCGTGGAGGAAGGCACCGAAAAAAAAGGGACAAAGAGAAGAAGAAAAAGCTACCCAGATAGATTGCACCGTGACTCAATGGCGGCGCGCGATATATACTGTACGTATGTAACTGGACCCGTAGTGTGTGCAGGAGACTTAATAATGCGAAACCGTCGTTCCGCGTCTACGGATGGGAATTTGCATGAGGATCGTCAGCCTGGGAGCCCGCAGGAAGGCCCCCGATGATCGATGTATCGTTCCGCGAATTTACACTCGCGCGGGATACGTACCTCTCTCCCGCCGACTTATACACGGATGGAATAGGTGTGCGTGATTCATTTAGAATCTGCCACGGATTGTGATTAAAAAACGAGACGGATATGCGATCATTATTCAAGACTACGTATATACCTAAAAAGCTTTCGAGGGTTTCGATTTCGACTAGTTCTCTCTTTTGATTCTTTCTCTTCGTTTGTTTTTTTTTTTTATTCCCCCCCAAACAACTGTGCAATTAATGCACCACGTAATGTGAAACAATTTTTTTTTATATCGGATATAGACCAAATAAGTTTTTTTCTTTAATCTTAAGGTGAAATGTTGCTAAAAAAAAAAACGCGAGAATTCTATATAAATTTTTTATCGTATAACAAAATCTCTCTCTCTCTCATTAATTCCTAAGCAACCAAAAATTTATTCCCTACTTACAACACATCGACACGTATGTCCGTTTCGAAAACAGGCCATATACACGGTTGTGTCTCTCAACCGTCACTATTTTAAAAGGTCTGTCTCGGGTAGTATATATATGTATATATGTGTATACACTTAGGATAACCAGATCTCTTTTACAACCGCGCTCAAGGACTACCTGTGCATCCATCGTAACGTCCTATCCAACAGTCGGGATCGTTTTTTGAAGAAGAATTCGGCAAGAAGTAAAAGAGAGACGATATCGACGATATAAACCTGGAGAGTGCACAGGAGCCAGACAACCAAATATTTGAGTGGCAGCCGATAGTCGGTGTCGCATTGTATCTAAATCCGATATCCGGTCCTCTTTCTTTTTAAGATCCAAAATGACCAGACACCTTCGATCTATCCGTCTAAATTGACGAGGAAAAGGTGCACGAGCTTCCTACATCCCGGTAACCGAGATATGTAAAGCTTTTAGCTAACGTTCAGACAAGTTTATCTCTCTGTTTTCGTTGTCTCAAAGACAAAAAGACGTAATTTGTATTTTTTCACGCCAACGGTTTTTTTTTCACTTTACTGTTATTGTGGAACGCTAACAGCAAAGTCTCGTAAACCGACGATTAATTTCATGCACGATTATACATGTTGTGTTAATATTCAGAGTAAACTACACTAAAGTTACGTAACCAATGGCAAATTAATTCTAAAACGTTTTCTTATTCTCTTGCAGCGAAACATTATTAATTCATTTAAAGTTTTTTTGAGCGTCACCGTTTTTATTTGCTGTTCTAATTATTCACGCAAACAACGCTCGCAATTCTGCGTAGTTTGGTTTTTCCAGAAAAACAATTTTTTTTGCGTTTACGATTTTAACAAACAAGTTCGCACAACGATCTGTTCAATATTTTTTTAATAAAAAATTATTTTAATTGTATTTCAACGGACGGATCTTAAAAATGACTTACGAGTCGGACAGACTGATCTGTGAGACCTGCAATTTTAAATTTCAAATATCTCCGCGAGAAATCAGTATTTTTTCAATTTTGGTTTTTGAATCGAAAATTTGAACAATTCTGCGTCGATAAAAAAAAAACAAATTGAAGAAGTAGTTAAGAAGATACAAGGGTTTTAAAAAACCTACTTTTTACTAGAAACGCCGATGCGCAATTTTTGAGCGGGTCTGATCTATGTCTGTCCGTGAAACTGGAGTTATTACAAAAAAATAAATAAATAAAAAAATAGAAATTTTCTTGTACTGGCAAAATAGGTGTCGTTTTGTTGTATTATCGGTTGTATTATTGTACACAAAAATAGTGCGGTACCTCGTGAACACGTCCGGATAATGCGTTCTGGAGAAGGCCTTTTCAAGTTCCTCCAGCTGGTAGCTGGTGAAGGTCGTTCTGTAGCGACGCTGTTTTCGTTTGGGCGCAAAATCGTCGGCCTCAGCCTCGCTCTCGGGACTGGTCGCCGCCGCTCTTGGATGCGCGCTCTCTTCCTCGGGTCTGATCTCTTCCGCGGAGATGCACATTTGGGAGGACTGAGACGACGTCGATGACGTCGTCGACGCCGGCGTCGGTTGCTGATGTGATTGCTGAGGTGGTTGGTTCAATTGTTGCTGGCTCACATGGGTCACCTGGCTCGAGCTACTGGTACTGCTCGCAGGACTCGTCTGCGAGACGGCCTGCTCGCTGCCTCCTCGCGACGAATGATCTGCACAGAACGACAATTGACTCGTAAAATAAAAAAAAAGTCTCGCTCCGCGATTTTGAGAATCATAGAGATTTGAATAAAAATGCAACACACAAGATTGAACGTGTAATCAATAGTATATTCCGTTCACTCGAAAAATAGAAATCACAAAGTTCACAGTTTTTTTTTTTTTGCATATGTAACGTCTCGAACGTATAGACGGTTGTGAGAAAAAAGATATCTCGTGTCACACACAGAGTTAATACGCGCAGAGTAAAAGTTTATCAAAGAACACACGTAGAATATTTATTGCGTCGATTTAACGTCTCGATTGTATTGAAATAATTTTAATGAAATAACAATAATGAAAATAAACGTTAAGTTCTCATCGGGCCATTCGATCCGCGACTGAAACGCGGACGGAGTGCGAAGCGATTCATCAACTGTCACGTGATCCGGTGACCGCACCGGTATTATCAGCGACGATCGGATTCCACGAATGGTCAGGGGAAATCACTGCGGTCTAGTTTCCGCTGCGAGCGGATTTAAATGCAGCTCGTTCGACGCGTCGACCGGGCCGTAAACCACCTCGTACTGATTCGAAATTTCCGTACCTACCTCAAATTTCCGTCTTCGCGGAAAGAAATCTACGAAGTGACTGCCAATCGGACTGACCATTAAAGGCATCAAACTCGAGCAGTAAGAAATATATATAGTTTTACGTTTCTTCTCTTCGTAAAAACTAACGGTTTTTTTTTAGAAAGAAAGAAACAAAAGATGGAAAAAAAGACAACGACTGTTCGACCGTTTTGTTACATCTGACATTTATTTCATAATTTTATGAAACAAAAAAAATTTACGACGCCGCGCACATAACTTGAGCGACTTGATAAATGATGAGATAAATTTAAAGTTAATTTCGAACGTAATTGGATATCATGGGCCTAAAATGTAAATGGACGTGCGTATGATTTAGTATCGCGTATTAAGCAAATAGGCGGATTAAAATAAATTTTAAATGCAAATGCTGACGCGCGTGCGGCAGCGGTATCATTCCTTTCACTATGACCTTGTAGGAACACACGATTCTTGTAAGCCGCGCGTATCTCGGCACGATCTCGCGCGATGCCGCCATTCTGACAATCGTGTAACAACATTCGATATTGCCTGTGCGATAATGAAACCGTTCGATGTGATAAATGTGTCTAATAAAACGGTAGCTCTTCGAAAGACTAGAATTACAAACTCATGTTGTTACACGCTGTGTGTAAATAAAGAAATTAATTTAAAAAATTATATCGAAACAAAACACTTTAACTACCTTTAAATCATTTGGAGCTAATAATTCGAGCAAAAAATTCAAAGGTTTGATCTTTTTGTTATTAACCAGATCGGAAAATGTTTGAACGTAATTTTTTCAAAGTACGTAATTGTTTTTTTTTTATTTTTTATTTTTTTTCGTTTTGATTTAATTGATCTCGGATCTTTAGATCCCGCAAGGAGCCTAATTTTCACAAAGCGATCGCAAGTATCCTCGTCACGTTCCGCGCATATTAGTATATAAAACGCGGCTCTTATATACGCGCGTCGATATCATAGGATGCGAAGGAGTCTTTAGAGAAAACGGCGGTCGATTTCGAGCAAATTTCTGGAGGCGAAGAAGCCCGCGCGCGGGAGAGATTCGATAGAAAACCGAGAATGAAAAAAAAAAAAAAAAAAAGAGCGAGCGCGCGAGAGATACAGGGAAGAAAAGAAACGAAGTGGTTTACGCGGTTCTTAAGCGGCAGTTTTTAATCGAGCCAATTTATAGGAAATGAGCTTATAATGCAGGTAGTAGCCCGCGCGCGTAATGCCGATAATACATATAAGAGACCTCTAAAACTCGCTTTGGATTTTTCTTTTTTTTTTTGTTCGCGCACACGCACAATGTGCGCAACTACGAGTTCATCGACGTGCAAAAAGAAGGAGGGAGAGAAAGAGAGAAAGAGAGAGAGAAGACGTGTATAGGTAGCCTCTTACATTATAATAGCATTAATGGGGACCTGAAGCCGCACTTAGCGTTCGCTCGCCGACCAGTTCGCCTCGTCGTTATTAACTGAAAATTACCGAAACCAAAATCTAATTCGCGTAAACACTATAATTTCACTGCGTGCCATATAGAGTCAAGAGTCGTTCTCTAAGCGCGCGCGCGCGCGCACTCTCTTCTTCCTCTCCTCTTTTTGTGTTCTTCTCTTGCGATAAGGCATATTAAATTCTTCGATTTAATCGAACGAACAAATACACCCGCGAGAACCGCGCACGTTTTCGCTTCAAGTTCGATTTTTGTTTTTTTTTTTTTGGCGCTGTAAACTCGCTCCTTATCGATGCGAAATTCAACTTCGATTTTCGCGCGGAGATAAGGAAATTAACGAAGAAGAAAAGACGCGGATGTTCGTTGCTAGATGATTTTAGCACCCGATGCAAAGTTCTCTTAAGGAAAACAACGACGTGTTCAGGTTTCACTCGAGTGTGAAGAACATTTGTCACAATTTCTTTTTCTTCTTCACACAAAAATTTTGGTATAAAAATTCGTAGACAGAGAAATTATGGAAATTATATAAATAAATTCAAATTAATTGCAATTAATTGCAAAATGACATTATACGTATCCCTTTGACATTAATGTCAATTAAACGCGGTAAATTAATTCTTGATCGACGCTACCGTTAATTTGAACACGACACGCATACACACAAACACGGGCGAGTATATCGGAAAATGCAAATGTTTAATTAGCGGGAATTGATAAGTGTCACGTGGTATAAATTGTTTTCAATACAAAGACACGAATCGTCGATTATGCTACAACTATATATTTCGCGTTATCTCGTCGAAGGTTGTTCCCGGCGTGGATTAATGCACGTTGGCTGGTTTATGTGTCGCGAGTATACGCACTCTGTAATAAACATCGGCGGGAACGTGTTTTAGTGCGATTCCATCGCGAAACGAGCAACCTACATATCACACACATCGACGTTATACTTAATTTACCGCGAGAGTTCGATCTCGCAAGCGTCCATTTATTTCTCCCGATCGTCTGTTCCGCGCGCCTTGACAATATCATGAATGTTCAATTAGATACGTCACGCTCGATTAGAAACGATAGTGCGGAATTGCAAAGATGTAGCAGCTGGTGATTAATCTCGGGGGAGGACAGGAGGGGGGACAGACGTAACAATATTTATTATTTCGCTAATGCAACGTTGCCATTAAAACTTTCTTGTATATATTAGTTTGTACAGATATTTCTTCATTCTCGTGTGATAACTACTTCTTCATTTACATATATTGATTTCTTTATATCGTACGTACACGTAACGTAATGTAACGTGTGCATGTAACGTATGTATCTCGATCACATTCCGCTGACATTTTCCGATAACAAATAAAATGACATTATTTTTTATGATCGATTTTAATTTGTTTTTAGACAAAATTTTCTGATTTAACACATAGCAATAAAGATCTCAGCAACTTCGTCTTGCTCGTCGTCAGCTTATGTCTGACGCTTATGTGGACGTTTCGTTAAGTGCGAAAAGCGAGTTGAAAAAAAGCCGCATCGTTTCTGCTACATTTGCGCGTCCAAGTTGCACGCGCAATATGCATTGCGTGTGCGGAATTTACGGTCGTGCAAATTAGCACGTCGCAATCAGCCAATTAGCTACGTCATTGTGGCCGTTTATGCAAACACGACGGTATACATTGCGGAGCAACGAGTCGGTGCCGCGTATAGAGAGAGAAGTAGAGTTTTCCCCTTCTGCGCGCCGTTTTACTACTTCTCCTGAACGACAGCGACTGAAAAAAAAAAAAATCGCGCTTGCGGAGGGAGAAATCCCCTTCTCTTTTTGCAGAACTAATTCGTTGCTCCGTGGTGTACAACGTTCGCTGTGTACCTAACCACGCACCGCGGGTGTCGACGGCGACTGTTAATTACCCGCTAATCCATTCCGCGCGAGTGCCAAGTAGTAAGTTATTTTCCCGATTTTTTTTTTTTTTTTTTTGTCACGAAGTTTCTCGCGTCGATCTCGCGCGAATTATATAAAACATTGCCGTCGTCTCTCTCTCTCTTCGCATCTAATCGTCGTACTCGTTTCGTAAGTGTAATTGCGTATTGGTATAGAATTCGTGCTTCCTTTAATACCGACGGCAATAAAACGCCCATTGTAATACGATCTCGAACGCTTGACACAGAAAAAGGATGCGGGAGAAAAAAGTCACCTTCGGCTTTTTACTCGCTGCATTATTAAAACGATCCGTCTGGTTACCCGTAACGACTGACAATGGGATAGTTTGCAGCGCACGCGTGCGAGATTGGAAACCGAGATTTGCAAATCATATTCTCTATGTGACATTTGATGCTAATCACTTTGATATTACATGCTTGCAATCGTTGTTATTTAATGAGATATACGCGGATAATCGATCACACGAGATTTAATTGACATCTCGATATTCCAAGTAGTAATATTTAAACAGTTCGATTTCAACTCGATATTGTAATCGGTATAATTAATTAAATTAATTGAAATCGCGCGCGGATATAGAAACAACAACTTTTGCGGATCTCTTGCGTTGCAAACCGGCTCTCTCTAATTCTTATTGCCGCAAACGGTACGCGGAAAGAGTACGCGCAGTTACAATTACGATATTATCGTACTCGCTACCGCACCGAGAGAGAGTTGTGTGAACGATACTTAATACGATCTTCGTGTTCGAAGACCTTTTTGCGCCGGTTCGTGCACCTCGGTCAACAACAACGACGAAGACGAGGACGACGACGTCGCGCTCGGGAAAGATGTTTCTACATCGAATCATACTTGCAAATTCGCGCTAATAGACGCATCAATGCGTCCCGCGACACGAACCGGCGTCGCTCGGTCGTGTTCGATCCCTCGCGCGCGATAATAAACGGGCAATTACGAATTATCGGCGAGAATCCTCTGGTCCGTTCGCTTATGCCGCGATAACGGCGCAGATATACG